AAATGGTGCCACTCATATTTGAAATAAATTCGGTGATATGTCCATTGCTGAATTTCATAAGATGATTGTCTATTCGGCACGACAGAGTGAGCCTGACGCACCTGAAATCCTCAAGTTTAAATATATTCATATATAGCCGCGTCCAGGCGGATCTGCTTTAAGGCGTAACAAGTGAAATCCGGCTCAAGTACTTTAGTTTGTTGTCTTTTGTAAAGGTTATCTTTAACATGTTGAACAGCACCATGAAACAGACAGCTGAACTGTGCTGGCCAGGCACTCGTGGGGAGGAAGATACACCTCTAAACAGTGGCCGAAATTTTGTGGATTCGAGGTGTATTTTGGTAGTTCCCAAAGAGAATACAAGTATTTTTCAAGGAGTCCTGGTATTTCACTTTGGATTTACCCCAGTGAACCAATGATCTCATAATCTGCGGTTTGAAAAATCTTCAGCCACAACTTAGGAGATTACCTGAAGTGCACCCAAGTTTTTAGGGGTCCCTTGGGCTAAATACATTCGCCTACATATAGATGATGCGCGTCGAACAAGTTTATTCTCCAGGTAATCTGATTCTGTATTTCTGATAATCCATTTTATGCGGCATGTTAATCTTTGATACAACGCTGAGCCTACTAAAAAGCCATCGTACAGGGAATTGAGATCTGGCTGTCGATTTCAGTAGCGTAATCTATCTTGCGGTACTCCGAAAGCCCTAAAAAATTCAATTAATACAACAATTATAGTTTTGAAGCTGACAACGTTCTGATTGATACGTTTGTTTATTTCTTTCTCGCCTTCAGGGGATGCTGTTCGAATAGCAAAGGCATAATTTGAAAGTTACCAACCAGCAATTGGTTAAGGGAATCAGTCTAAGTTGCGGGTAATGCTTTGCATGCAAGACTAACTGATGAACCTACTGTACAACGAAAGTGGTCCATTGTTCGTTGACGTCAATATTTGACGTGAATATTTGACATGAATATTTCGGCCGCCATTAGCTTGGTGATTGAAGGTGACTTCACAGCAGTCCCGCGACGTTTTTGACCTCAATGATATCTCATTAAGGAAGAAAAACTCCTCAGAGCACATTATCTTCAATTAGCTCTATAGTCATCAAGCACGTACTATGTTCTACTACAGACAACAACTAAAAATAGTCGTTTCCGTTTTTTATTAGTGAGGGAATATTTTACAAAATACTTAAGAACACACAGTTGTGTGATCCTTGTGTAATGTGGTTTCAAACATAAATTGGAGCACGCTCTATTGCTTTGATGATAACAGATGATAATTTTATCCAGCAAGATAGCGAATTTTCTAAGTAAAAATCTGCGACGCGCTTGAATACAGGCGGTAATCAAACAGGGTGTGTGTCGGAAATCACGTCCGGCAAATTCAGTTTCAGTATAAATAAGTGAGGTAGAAGTATAGACATTCTGATAAGACTCTAATTGAACTTGTTCGTGAATATTCCGTTGTTCAGCGCACAAGAATCCAGGGTACAAACAACAGTAGCAACAGGCGCGCAAACCTAAGCGAACGAATTGAAGACCTAAAGTGCTAGGAGTAAACGGCATCTAGCAAATTTTATTCTCCGCACTGTTCAGTGATATACTTACTATTTTTTTCTTTTCATTTTCATCGGTACGGCTCCCAAAACCAAGCAAACTTTGAAAATTTTTTAAGGTCTTTCCTTCATTTAGTCTCCTCTGGTTCAGTCTTACTGGCGATCTACGTTTGGTGCCTCGGTTTGATGTCGCACATTGTCAGTCTCATTAGTTACATCAACGATTTGTTCCGCCAGCACAAATAGTTTGGAATATCTTCAAGCCATACGGCCTCTGATTAACAGATTGCAAGATACTCACGACACGGATGCACTTCATGTGCACTTCCTAAATTGACCACACCTTAACACGCAGCCCTGATGCATGAAATCTGTAAGTGTTCGCTGGGACGCGCTTGGATCTTATCCAGTTTTATACATTTGATGCTATTCAAAATAGTATTTTTGAATCGCTTATGATATTTTAGTGACCTTTAACAGTAGAAGACGTGTTGTAACGTTTGCGCTAAGAATAATTATTGTGTACATAAGAGGAGTCCCTTTGTCTTCTGTATGATGGAAAATAGCTTTCCACATTGGTAGGCTAAAGAGGTTAATCTAGACATAGGACTGCATTTCTGGCAACGTGGCTTGCCTGCCACCACAAAACCCTTTGACTGTTTCAACTCATGTAAATTTCGTTGCACTTCTTGGAGTACGTCGGCTGTCGTATTCATGAATATGATTAAGGCATGGGGGCCAGACACTACAAACTTCATTATCACACGTGTGATTGGGCAAGAGTTGATAGTTGTGTTCAAAATATTCAGAAACTTTCGGCTTTGAAACAAGACACTGTCTGTAAATTGATGAAAGTTGGAAGGGGATATTTTTTTCATGATTTATTGTACGGAAGTTGTTGATGCAAGCCTTTGGGGTGACTGATGAAACAAATGGTTCAATGAAATAATATTTTCTTTAAAAAATATCTGACCTAATCCTCCAGAACGGATACCAACAATACCCAACGATCTCCGCGGTAACCTTTATGGAACACATAAACAGGTTCCAAACGTGCTGAGATACCTACCACGAGTTAGATATAATACAAACGTTTAAATAAATTGCATGCGCTGGTGAAACATCAGGCAGCCTGTGACGCAGAAGCTTGCATTTGTAAATTGCAATAATAAAACAGCAGCAAATACAATACCGACAGAGTATACAGATGAGATCTTCCGGAAATAGTTTAGTGTTTTTGAACTAACCAACTCATAACCAGCTCAGCAACTTGTCTACACAGCTCGCAGATTATAGAACTACAGGGGGATTCTAATCACACTACCTGTTGCTCTTTGTACGTCGCATGAGCACGATTTCATTTATCGCAATTGATGGAGAAGCATGCTGGTCAGAAAACCTAGGGATGCTTTTGATACCGTCACTAAAATTTCAAATAATAATTTTGATTCTTCACGTTTCACAAATTTTATGGTATATTTTCTACGTATGTTGTACAAGCATTGGTGAAAAGGCTAACTAGTGACACCATGTTGTCTGCTGGTCGAACAAATAGACTACACGTGATTAGAGGACTCGTGACCATCGAAACGCGGCTAGCGTAGGTAGATTGTCCGGAATTCGTCTAGTAAGCACGTGAAACCACTTAAACTGTCTCACTGCTGATCGCAAGCATATTGACAAGTTCTATACACGGATCAGTCCTTGTTCAAATGGGGGGAGAGGTTTTGAAGGAGAGCACATATTTTGCCTCTTCCATAAATGTAGCCAAGTATAACACTGACAACTTTAACCTACGCCGATAACTATCGAATGGATGAGAGCACAGCGGCGAATCCCTTATAAGAACAAAGTTTACGTGGTGAATACATTGATCTAACCGGTAAAAGTATCACACTTAAGCCACCAAGACTCACACAAGAGCCGACGTGACGCGTTCATATGCGGCATTGTCCGTAAGGTCTTATTCATTTCATCAGTCATTCAGCTAGTAACAAGATTTTTACTGCGGGAAAATAACCACAGTATTCGTGTCCCCTAAGGAATGTCCGGAATGTTTATTCAGAAGATATGTATTTTTCGTGCCAACTAAACGTGGACCTACTATACATTAGCTAGAAAAAGACTGCAGCTAGGATTTATGACCATTAGCATCTCTACGTTTCAATGAAACTGACTGATGTTACAACAAGCATGATTTGTGCATCTGTCAATTAGACAAGAATACGTGGTCGATCATGTGGGTTTACACAGACGCCTAGCCAAAGGTCCCATCAAGAATGTGGTATTCTGTTGGAAAACAGCTTGCCTTCTTAGAGACAATGTTAGGCGTCAACTAACGACAGACTTTTAGACGTATATTTAAACTAAACTGAGACGCAGTCCATGAAGCAATCGGCCGTAAAACAACATTCTTTCTTGTCCTGATCATCAGCATCGAAATTGGAGCTACTGTTTTCATTAGCATTACATACGAAAAAACCCTTTAAGGGTAGCCAATTGGTAGCTCATAATGCTGAGGTGTCTCAAGGTTCTTTTCCGTAACCACTCAGGTTTCAAAATCCCTTAAGAAACCATCAGCTGATTTATAAGATTCAGGTTTTAGTATAATGGTTTGGGTGTTCTCTTGTGGTTTAGTTGAACCCGCCTAATTACAGCAACCCCACAAATGCACTGAAATATGATGCACGACCACTCTCAGAATGGATGGGCGTTGACTCATTTCAGCGTTTGAACCAACAAATGAACACCTGCAACATGATAACAGTATGAACATACATTCTCGTTGCATGTTTTACCACTCCTCACTACAATTTCACTTCAGTCTTAATGGGGTATATATGAATTCAGTGTCAAATCTAGGGGATGGAAACGTTTTACTTAGGTACAGGTAGTCAAAATTAGGGGGAAAACCTTACGTTGAACATTTTGAGAAAAATCGTGATGACTATAGCATGAGTATAGTTAATTGTATGCTTTGTGCGTACTTCATTAATAAGAACTGATGAGTTGGAAGTGGTGTGTCGAAATTCTCTGGGAAAAGGAAGTAATTATGGCAAATTTGCCCGAAGCATTGGTTACATCATAAAATGTACCAATGACTTTAATAACGAAAATCGATAGAGGAACTGAGAAGTGCACATGCAGGTAATAGAGCGTGCCATTTTATGCAAAACGTAACTCCTTGAGGGGTATGTTCCACCAGTGCCCGCTTGACTCAATAAAATTTTTCCGTGTGGCTTATCACCGTAAAAATAAGTGTGATTTTTGTCTTTGTACCGTAATAACCAATATACCAAGTAATTAAACTGGTTGTTTTGAGACGCAAATAGTCGTATGACCTTGAAAACTGTCACCTTGGTCGCATATGTGGGGGAAGTCTAGCAAATAAAATGGTCGTGTCTTTCGGGAGGCATACGAATTAGGCCGTACAGGATGCACGTACTTAATATCATTTTGTGTTTTACAATCCTGCACATATCTGGTCTCGTGTGTGCTGTGGAATTCGCCGATTGCGGTAGGTTTTACGGGGCATACAGGATAATATTGCAATGGATTCAGCGTAACCTTTTGCACATTGCCTTGAACATCAGGTAGATCAATTTTAGTTGATGTCCTCATCTTATTTTGGACCCCGGCTCATTGTCTGTTAAGCAGCTACTTATGACTTCACTTGGAGTGCCTTATCTTTGGCTTTGCCCACGGACCTTCATTGGAATCTGGGAGCGAATTGACGACATTTTCTGAGGACGTCTCCCATGACACGCAACAAACTGAGCTGTTAGAATACACTGAAGTTCAATGCACAAGCTGAAAAATGAATTCTGTTTACTTTGTTTCCTTGGCATGCAGGTTCTACGGGGGCTATCGTAATGTCACTGGACGTTTCTCCATGTGACGCTGATTTGTGTACACTTGTCAGGGGTACACTGACTACTTTTACAATTACCTTTGTTGCACGTAAGTAGTGCACTTCTGCACAAAAGTTCACTTGGTCTGCTTTTTATATATTTCCATTATCAAGCGTAGTAAAATTTGTAATTTGGGTAGTTATTTTCCCAAACGATCTCGGGTTCCTTCACGTGGATCATCGTTTTGTCTGCATTTTTCCAGCAAAATTCCATCATATGTGGAGGCTGCACGACTGGGTATTGAGGCCTCGGGCTTCATAAAATAGTCAACTGGGTTTATTATAAGCTACGTGGATGAAGCTTTTAACTTTGATTAAATGTTTGAGTGATTCTGAACATCGTGATTTCATACCTAATGTTTCGGTTCCTCATGTAGTGCCTCGCTTTGAACTACAACTATGCCGTTCATTAATCATCGCAATTGTTTTGAGTTAGCAATTATTTTTATTTGGAGTAGGGTTTTCTGTTTGTTTAGGCAAAAAAGCTGATCTGATATTCTCTCTGACATGTTCCTCTTTGATCAGGCAGGGACGCAGATGCTGTGTATTCCAACGTCAGAGATACCGCTCGTGGATCACTTGTGGTACATTTTCCGCAAAGTGATATATGTCCTCAACTGGCCCCACCCTGTCCCATTTTGGCCGGCGAACGATACACATTTAGCTACACAGCCGTAGTGGCTAACTCCCTTCAAGCAGTAAGTGCAATGGAATCCGATGCGCCCATGTGTGTGGAGTGCACTCAGATAGCGCTAAGAAGATTTTAGGATGCAAAATTATTTTATCGGTCATATAATCAGAAACATTGTACATTTCATGATGACGACGGATAATTATGCACGATGACTGCTGGTACATAGGAATGGGCTGACATTCTTGTAATCGATTGATAGAAGCCGCAAATCGTAGGCGGGATTTTAATGTTATATTCGCAATTGTACATAATTTGTCGAATTATCACTGGCACTTGAAGCCTTAAGTAACGACAAGTGTTCTTTAATCATCTGGATGTGTTTCCTTTACACGAACTGTCTCTACAAAGGGATTTTATAACAACCTGCGCTGGATTGCGTATCTATGTTCCGCTATCGTTTTCTCATTCATCAAGACGAGTATTTCTGATTCTCTAGGGCTCAATGTCAATCCGATGGAAAATATTGTACGGAAGTGGAGCAAAGTTCATGTGCATCGATTTCAAGGTGAAAATTGCATAACCCGCGCGGAGTGATAGTGACTATGTATGCTAAATAAAATAGTAATCACTCGAGATTACCATTTTTTCCATTGGATTCGCGAATACTGGGAGGTCTATAAGACCGGGTGCACCCAGAAAGTATGCGTTAGCAAATATACTGAAAAATGTCACTGTGTCGGAATTCCGGTTATTCAGAGCGTTAATTAACCAATCGATTTTCTTAACTACCATTGATTACCCAAATTTCAAGTCACGGAAGTAATCAAATGTACAGCGGGAGGAGGGGTAATTCAAATGCTCAAAATAGAATCTGCTATGGATAAGTTGTAAATTTCGCAAAATAATCGGAAAGTGTTGGAGGTATTTCTTCTTTTGCCTTGTTAGAGTAATGCACAAAGAGATCACGATTGCACTGTAAATATTATGGGTCACTAGTTTATATCCCATCTGACGGAATACCCCAGTCGGTGGATATTTTGTTTTTCTAGAGCTGAAAAAATCATGGATCCAGATTCTCTGCTGCTAGTGAGTTTATAGGTAGACACACAAGTGTAGGCGCTTTGCGTTCTTGCAGAAACTAAAAAGCCACAATGATCCGAAATGCTTTATTAGTATTTGATGCAGCAACAATAGGGGACAAAGTGGATGCATGTAGTTATTCTCAACGTTTTGATCTAGATCACGAAATTGTGGTTACACAAAATGCGGTTTTTTAGCGGCAAATGCATGCAGTGTAAATGTGCCTCCTTCGTACCATCTAAATTGTGAATGTAGCTCACGATATTTCGGTTGGAAATGGTAAAGAACCATAAGTGGTCTTTCATTGAGACTGCGCTTGAGCTATCAGACCTTACTTAAGGTAGCAATCAAACGGCCAAACGCAGAGTACGCTGGTTGGATGTGTATCCCTCAGCATTAGAAATGCTGGATGGAAATAGCTAAATACCCCGAGACAAAATGCGAGATCGCACCATTACCGCTAGTAATGTAGCATATCGACTAATTTGGTCCGGAAGAGAACAAGTCAAGCGCAGCTCGTTTATCCTATATTTTAGATCCATCAATCACCTGAATTACATTTGGTTTCCTATAATGAACAGCTATAAAGATTTAAGACGATGATTTTTAAGCACACCCCGATATTTGCCATGGGTTGTGGGCGGGTTACTGCTGGTGCTTTTAGCTGCCATCAGTAAATGCAAATTTATCAAACAGTGAGAAGAAAGTCGGTCGTACAGCATGAAGTGTGTGCCACAGTGTGCATGTCGGTTGGTTGATTCGGTGCTGTGCCCTGCAAAATACTACACACGAGGGATTCTACGTAGGATTTACTTACAAGGGAATATTCCCCTGGTGAAAGGTGACCACGATGCAAAATTGCCACGGTAGCTGTGAATGAAGAAACCTTCATTTTGGAAGGCCATTTGCTGTGGTTTGATATTTCGATCCAGACGCTCTTAAAAGACGGCGCTTTGGCGGGAGCTCACTTTCGTAATTTGCCTAGCTTTGCAGATTGAAACAATGTTTTTCATTTTTATTTGAGGAATTTCTGTTTCAATTTTGTCGAGAACTTATGTATGGAGAGATCGTTATCGGATTGGCTGACTACCTAATGCACAAGGACTCGGGTGTATTTCCAAATGAGGGGGGCCAGGAACGACGGGTATAAAAGGGTGATGATACTTCCAGGTTTCTATGGCAGGTATTTTTCAACGTGTCACACCATGAGTCGCTGACGCAAAATTATGCGTTACAAAAGAGTCAAATATCGAAGAAGATTCTACGAAAACGTTCCATCTATCATTTAAATAGAATTTTTGATGTGTACGACATATGTCGTCACGTCTATCCTAATGAACCATTTCGGGCCATGTTCTCAGTGTATGGCACAAGTGTCAAGTACGCTTATGAAGTTCCCCTCACTTCGTCTGGCTATAGATATAATCCCACACCCATTCAATGTTTGTTGGGATATTAACAAAAAACGATTTATATATATATATATATATATATATACTACAAAGGAGTACCAAACGATGGTAAATAATCAAGCAAACATATATGCCGAGCTTTTATACAAATACATCGGCGAGTGTAAGTAAAGCAACAGGTTCGAGGTCGGTGGTACAAGTGTGCAACTTGCTTTGTGATGTCAATCGTTGATTTTCTGGAGTTTTTGGTGACCTTAACTCGTTTTTTCAACCGCAAATTAACCGGAAATTTGCATCAAACGCTGGAGGGTCATGTAATTGCGAAGAACATTGGAAAGGAAACTTTTCTGTATGAATGCTATGAAATTACCTGTCGCCATATTGGCAGATTTCAACGAACAATCGACATAATGTTTAGATCAACGCTCGGTTTGGGAGACTATGATAGCTCACGTATTGTTCTTTTCTGCGCCAATCGACCGGGTGTTGTCAGAAATCATCGTCAGTTATATCCACATACTACTAGTTTTAACGCACTTAGATAGAGTAAACCGGCAAACCACAGTATTATGTGGCGCTGTAGGCTCAAGAGAGTATCACATTCTATGTGCCAAAGTTCAGGGTCAACGCACGGACTTATCTACGTTTTTTTAAAGATTTGCCTTTGCCGTGCATTATCCTTGTCAGTTGGTTTCGGGAGGGAATTTTCGGCACAAAAGTGTTCATCTAACGTGCACAGTTTGTAATTTCCGGCCCGCAGTGTTTATCTGCTTTAAACCCAATAATACCTTCTTTCTTTGTGGGTCAGGTTGGACCAACTTGTATAAACCAACCAAACTATTTTATGATCGGCTCCTAATATCTCGTTGTTGATGGACGTCACACGCGTGATCAAATGCAAGTCCAAGGAATAAGTGAACATAGGCTACATCTATCAACAAGCTCTAGGCAAAATCCAAATGTGCCATATTATTCCTTAAATAATGCCGCGTAAAACGAACGATAACATTAGTGGTATAAACGTTTTCCGATTTAAGCTTACTGGTATAATAAATTGACCGCCTGATGTGAGCCTAGTTATGATATGAATTGAAAGGGAGGAGAAACTTTCAAACTGCAAACGTTGATCACCGTCTTAAGTGTTAGTATCCCTGGAAACCTCATAACGTTAGACGCCAGACATGTTATCTCAAACCCATCTCAGTGCTCTGTCACATCGGTGATTATGATGAGCAAAAATAGGGCTCCAAAGAATGCCAAATATATCTGCTAGTATTTTGTTAATCTTGTTTGTTGCTGCGTGACGTTTTCCAGGCTTAGGGCACTAAGAGAGAGCCGGTGGGCACAAGTCCACTGAACTGAAAAACTGACAATAAATAGCTAAGTTTCGGAGTCACTAAATCCAGTTCATCTGGCCTGCACCTCCAGCTTTGTTCAAATAGAAGATTTCCTTTCGAAATTCCAAATATAATATGTAAGCGAATAGATACTATCTCATAATCTCCAAGAAAACGGGAGTAGAGTCCAGACATCGAAATAACGAAGGAAACAATTCCAAACTGTCCGAAAACTCATGGCATTTTTGTCCTTAATTGGTTCGCCACTCTCGAAGAACCCAGCCAACTGAAAGCAGACACATGGGTTGCTGATAATCTGGTGACAAATGGTTGTCACAGGAAAGCCATACATAACTAACTCTCTGCTGGTTGTATCGGGCGAACCATTTGCACAGTCTATCGATGAAACGTAACTCGTCAACTGATAAGGAATGTTTTGGCATCAATCGCTGTATAAAGACATAGATATGTTGGTTGATCCATGATCAGACTCGATGCTTATGATGCACTTGCACATGATGACAAATAGTCAATCTTTTACGCTATATTATTTGTTTGGGAGAAATCTAGAAGTCACAGACCTATGCGATCCAACAAAATGTTTGTCAACTTCGGATGTCTTACGCGAAATTCCTCCCACCTGTAGAGTGGCACCTGTTAATGTCACTGAAATCCCAAAGGATATGAGGTCACCTGACTATTTAAATGCCCTATACTTAACAATTCATTCACAATCCATATTTGCACTTAATCTTGTATCTTAAATAGACGAGTGGTTTATACGCAAACCCATCAAATGTGATGTGATTCATTACATACTGACTGTTGAGTATGGCTTGAAATTCACAGATTGCGCGAGCAATTTCGGGAACGTACACACAAATACTGCTCACTACAACTAGTAACTGAAACTAATGCGTGGGCGCTTGTTCGCAAAGTGCTCTGTAATTCTAATGATTTTTATCACTTGATGGAATCCACTCTTTTCCTGTAAGGTCGAGGATTTACTTTGTGCATTCTCGCGCCTCATTTTTCAGTGTCATCCAATACAGTGTGCGTGCATTGTTTAGTCGTCTGATAGATGTCACTCATTTTTACATCGCATCATGTACCAGTTTGCGCAAGGAAATAACCCACCAAATTTCAGCTGGTGTTTTTTATGCTCGATATCTGCTGCAAATAGAAATGTGAATGCATAGAGCCGCCACCTGGTTAGAAACAAAGAATATGAAGCTGCTCGGCTTTTTGCTGTAAGCTACAGGTATTATTGCTGTATCAGATTATTGTACTCCGACACGGTCGACCCAACCAGATTATCATTCCTCTCATTTGGACATGTTTTGTTTCGGGCAGCTGAAGCCAAAATCGATTAAGATTCAACTTCTGGGGTGCGCCGTTCAACCTTGACCCATTGTATCTGAGGTACACAGCCAATGCAAACTTGTCATTTGCAGCATTTGGTTGCTTGTAGAAATCATCAAACTTTATTATCCCAATCCTAGGATATAATCTTTATGTAGCTGTACTGATACACTGATCTGGACTGTACGCAAGTTTTTGTAATACGGGTACTTAACTTCTCATACCACCAAGATATGCCTTTGACACTTTTGTATCCTTCCGGGACGAAGGAGTAAAATTTAGCCAGATAAAAACACTCAAGTGAATAGCCCATTATATTGCTTCCTATACTGCAAGGAGTCCCTTGTGAATGAAGTTGCAGGTACTCCAAAACTAAGTGGCTCAGAAAAAAATCAACCCTCAA